GATTTCCCAGTCCGTTAGAGTGTGTCAGTTACCTATGGATCTAGCCATTCATGTTGACTTAATAATTGAAATAAATCGAACAGCCAATGGACTCTACCTGTTCTCAAGTCTCATGTTTTACATCAAATTGTATACAATCGAAGGCATTCACAATGTTGTTGGGTTTGTGTCCAAACTCGAATCCTTTTGTTTAATGATCTTTAGTATAAACCCTAAAAAAATATTTATCATTGAAGATTCGTGTGTCAAAGATAAAGATCGATTTAAAGAACAAATAATGTAAAGAAAATCCCGAGTTGTTAACGGTCTCATTTCGTGAGATTTCTTCACGGCGCGCGTTGAGCACGCGCAACGCAGCTCCGTGGCTAAGAGAATTTGGTCATCTATCGCGCGAGTCCGTTCGGGTCAATACTTTCTTTAGCATGCGCGAAAAGCTACACAACGAGCGGAATGCGGGGTATCAAACGAAGGCGACGCTCAAAATGGATGTTTTAGCTTTTTCATGAGCGATCTTGATCGACAGGTTCTCCACGAACCATGTTGTTGGTAAACAAAATAACAAACAGAAGAGCCCTATTGTTTTCCGTAGCAGAATTCCCTCTTTAAGCTACAGCACATACAGATGATACAATCAATGATTTCGAAGCATATTTATTCGATTTTGTTCTCTTTATAGTGACGAACAAGAGTTACCAGACCTACCAAACTTGGGCACCATTTGTTAGATTACTAAAATGCTTTTGTAATCCAGAACCGAAGTGGTAAAAATATTTGAAGGTTTAAGACTAAGCCATATTTTGCAGAGTGGGAATTTTGACCTTGAAAATTAATCTTGAATCTATTGCTATATTGTTTTGAGGACAAAGTCATACTACTTGCTACCGAATGGCAGCAAAGCCGGGAGCAGGGGGTTGTCTTAATAATTAACATTGCATGTTATGCTGAAAAGGACGTTAAGATTACGTTTTCCGCTGATGCTATGCGCTTTCCTCCAAACCATCCTAATGACTGGAAACAAGCCTGAAGCACAGAATGCTACCATGAAAACTTCCCAAGACTCAAATATGGAGCGATGCATATTCAATGGCTCCGAATTTGTGTAATGAAAAATAATTCGTGAGACAAATTTTCGAAAAAACTAAGGCTCTCCATCCGAGTCATAGGTTTCCTCCAAACCATCCTAATGACTGGAAACAAGCCTGAAGCACAGAATGCTACCATGAAAACTTCCCAAGACTCAAATATGGAGCGATGCATATTCAATGGCTCCGAATTTGTTTAATGAAAAATAATTCGTGAGAGAAATTGCGAAAAAACTACGGCTCTCCATCCGAGTCATAGGTTTGAAGTTTCTACATGCTGCAAAAATACCTTATGCACTGGTATGTGTTACAAATTCTGTCTACAAAGGTATTCTACACTTCCTTGTGTCGTTTGCATCTTGTAAATTTGACGACTGTTGAAAAAAGTTCTTGCTACAAAAGAAATAACTCTTATAAAAATACCTTTTTGTTCTCTTCGACTGAAAGCCTTTATACAATTGGATGAATAAAATAAGTAATAGCATCAAAAATGAAAAGATTTTCGCGCATGCCTTCTTTGAAGCTATACAAAATATTACATTAAAAATAGCACTACACAAAAATATCCCTTGACTTGCTGTCAGAACATCCCAACAATTATCACGGAGAAACTTTTTCTATCGGGACATCCCGAGCGCTTGTAAAGGGATGAAACCCTAATGAAACCGTGGAAAAGTCAAGTGAGGTCCAGTTGTAATTACAGAGATTCTAGAATTATGCGTCTGAGCAATTTAGCACCAATTTTAAAATATCGTAACTATTACATCACCTTTCCAAGAAAATACCCATGAGAATTAAACGTTATTGCAGAAACAAAATTAATACCGTGATCGAAATAATCGTTCCTTTCTTGTACTTGTGTACTTGGGAAGTACCTTTTAACTTCAAACAACCATTATCAACATTTCATGAACTTCACTTCGTTATGGCATGAAGTTCTTTATCCGTGCAGGTTTTTTTTTTGGGTGTGTCATTCATCGAGAATAAAAGATCACTTTATCCATTTCTTGAGTTGTCTTTTCTCTCTATCCGATGAGAAATGGTACTAGCTTCTCCAACAAAGAGGGCATTGAATCTTTTTCATAAATAATGTTAAAGGGCTCTACCAGTTCTCTGAGACAAGAGGCCTCACGTAATCTGCAACACTTTGTAAAGCACCTGTCTTCTTTGTGAACATATTCCAGTATTTTCGCATCACTTGAAGTTTGCATAATCGCTGAAGGAGTCCACAAACAATCGTACCATTTCGTAACAGAACTCGTACTGCTCCTGTCACGGAAAAGACAATCAAAGGTTGGCAAGATGCGAATATGACAAGAATAATAAAGTGTAAGCACAGAAATGGTCATGCATTCAAAAAATTTAATTTAGTAGTTTTACTTGGCATAAATTGTAAAAAACTGTGTCGAGGATTGACGGCGCTGGGTAACAGCGACATGCTCTCCAAGGTCCCGCAAGGATCAAGGGGAAACGGATCGCAAATAGCAAGGAGCAGACTGAACTTATATAACCTAGCGAATATAATTGTTGGTTAGAGACGAGAATGGAGAGAGGGGAAAGGGTCTGAAAGAGGTATTATACACCTTACGCCCTTTGCCCATCAATAATCCCACCAACCCCCCCCCCCCCCTCCCTCTGCTCATCAGTAATCATCTTGGGTTTGAACTGATCATTTTCATGCGGAATATTATTCAACTTTATCGCATCTTTGAGCATCTTTTCATGTAGCTCTGTTGTGTGCATCTTGGAAATATTTTTAATAAATTCTTCAATTTTTTTTTACAATCCCTGTTGATCTTCTTCATTCAAAAGCGTCCTTATTCCTAAACTGCTTATCGTTATGTCTTAAATATTTACTTTCTTGCCATTATTTCATTTAATCGTTTCCTTCAATTTATCACTTCTTTTCTAAAGCAAAAAAAAAAGAAACGTGACACATCGTGGCATGGATTCGTACAAGAAAAAGAAGATTACGGTCGTAAACTTCGTTTCAGCTATTATTATATTCCCCCTCAGAGCCACAAGACATTTAAGATGCTTATTGGAATAAAGAATATCATCATTTGATTTTCCTTACCGCTGTCTGTACCATAAGAGGTCTCTGAGAATGCTAGCGCCGTACGGTCTGAAACATGTCTACTGAACCATCAAGTTTGACCCGCTCCAGCGCTATATTAATAGCGCAGAAAGTGCCAGTACGACCACTTCCATCACTAGAAGAGAGGGAACCAGAGATGAAATTCGTTTCCTTTGCTTATTATGAAATAATAACCAAATTATAAAATATTTCCGTACAAGACAACGTTCAATGGGCCACGTGTTTATGTTTCCTGAAAATATTTAGTTGAAACTATCAAAACTGCCATTCGCAATTCAATTTAAGCCATTGAGCAAAATCTTAGTTCGCTACTCTAAATATTCAAATTTGCAAAGTTTAGAACTAGAACACTGACAACAAAATAAACGAGCCCATTGACACCTTAAGCGACGAGAGACTGCGCATTCTCCACTTAGATGTGGACCTAAAAATTGCACGAACTCCACTTATTTTGCGGATGGAACATTTGAAGAAATTGGTGTCAATCCGGAGAATGGTCAAAATTACCAGATTTGATGGGATCAATGTCAGTGTCTGAGGAACTACACACCTACCCCTCCCCTAACCCAAAAACAGTCAACTCATAACAAGTTAGGATTAATGTTGGGTTAAGGGAGGGGTAGGTGCGCAGTTGCTCAGATACTGACATTGATCCGTCTCATGTGATACTTTCAAAGGGTTTACCTGCAGTGGACGACTATTGGTCCATTGCCTGTCTGCTGCTGCTGCACCCTTGTGATACATTTCATCATGTCAAGAAGCCCGACACCATTAAGAGGAATTGAGCGCTCTGCCCAGTCCGTGAAATGAAAATGATGAAGGGTGCGCACTTCACCGCTCTGCAAGAGAAAGCATTGAATCACGATATTATTACCCTGTAAATAAGGTGCCTTTTAAGGCAATTTAATGTTGCAAGCTCGCGATCGTCTATTCGACCGGCCATGTTTGATTTAGAGCTAGAGTGGACGGTACGTGTAAGGGAGGTGGGGAAAGGGGTGAATTTCTATTACCCCACCCCCCTCCTTCCTTTGGACCGTCTCTCACCCCCTTAATACAAATTTCTCTCTCTCCCCAGCCTTCCGCTTCTGTAAAATTAAAAAATGGCCGCTATTACTTCCACCATATAAAATTCCGAGCACTCGCTCGCCACAATTACGCCAGCTCTGCAAGCTACAATGTTATCGAATACGATGTTTAAAGCTATCGTGAGTGTGTTTCAATTAGTGTCGTGCGACCAGAACCAAAGTAATAATGACAGACAGTCGGAAAAAATGGACTATCATGAGGCACCGTTAAGAACTCATGAAGAAAAGCTGGCTTGATCGCTGGCGCGCGGAACTTGTTATCCAAGGGTCCTTTTTCGAGCCTTAACCCTTTAACCCCTAAGAGTGACCAGCTTCTAATTTCTCCTCACAATATCACCCCTGAATCAAACATTAAGGTCATGAGAATCAAGGAAGTGATCACCAACTCATAAAGCTCTTGATCTTTAAACAAATTCTCCTTGTCAGCGCTTCAGGAAATGTATAGAGGCAGTAAGGAGAATATGAACACTGATGTTAGGGTGTAAAGGGTTAACCCCGGCGGTGAGTTATACGTCGCTTATATGCTACGTTCTCTACTGAGACAACTCTGTTCTGGAGACACTTTTTCCAGTCCTCAGGAAACAGCGGCTGATGGTATCAACCGCTGTTTCCTGTATGGAGGTTTCATTACTGGTCAATTCACTGGAACAGTAACGGCAAAGGTTCTTCAAACCATAGACATCAAGTTACGCACAATACAGCAAACACACCCATATATTTTTCTTTAGTTTTCTATCATTCGTAACGAGCGCAAAAAACACTGTTTATTTTTTCACCTTTGTGTTCGTAATTTTCAGTTCTTCTACAGAAACCATTTCTCAGATCTTCCGCTTCAATCTCGATCATCAACAAACCATAGACGATGAACTCCTCTTTGTGAGGCGAATAAGATGCACAGATTCCCTGAAAACGACAAATGAATGCAGCAAATCAGGTAAATTAAGCAAACACAAAAAACACACAGAGAACTGAAAATTAAAGAAAAGTCTGCACTAAAGCCAAGTGGCCCCCCTACGAAAAATAAAGGAAACGTTGAGTAGAAATTGCACCCAATTAGAAATCAGCCAAAAAAGAAGAGCGAAAAAATATCAATAAATAATCAACTCCCAAACCTCTTCTCTCTCGCTCTGTGTGCATAACATCACAATGCAATTAGCTTCATATTCACAGATCATTCGCCAGAAATCAACGACCGTGGTATCCAACGGGGCCTGGGTGGCAATGAATGCCTCGCGCTGCTGGAAACTCTAAAACAAATAGGAAAAAAAACAACTAAGACGGTGTGGTTGGAATGAAAACAACACACAACTGCCAAAAAAATTTATGGGCACTTGCAGTACAAACCGAAACCTGAAAGCAAAGCATGAGTTCTTCCTATCTCTCTGATTTTCAAACCAGTCAAGAGAATTCGGTGTTGTACCAAGATAACCCTCTGGTTCTGATCACATCTGTAATCGCGAAACTTATTGTCATCGTGTCATACCGTTTCCTTTGTGTATCGCGTTTACGTGTTAATTACCAGTGAGCGTTTGTACGTTTCATTAGTTGTATTGCGTACGTGGAATGTCAGACAACTCGCCCCCTGGACAATTAGCCCCAGACGATTAGCCCCCAGTCTCTGGACGATTAGCCCCCCGTCTTTGGACGATTAGCCCCCAGTCCCTGGACGATTAGCCCCCAGTCTTAGTTTATGTAAAGGAGAAGTTACGTTCATTTGTTGGTCATTGACTTTTATGAGTTTGTGGCTCCTAAAGGAGCCCTTTTTTTTTGTGAATGTCTATCTATATTAACATTTACTCAATTTAAATTACATGGGTTGTACGAAGTGAGCGCAGGCCTGTAGGCCGTCTTCGTATTGACTCCAGAGGTCGTCTCTCAGCTTACCGCTGATGTCAGCTTTTTGTCTCCAGTGTAGCTTCCCGGTGAAGTACCTGGATGATTTACAGGGGCAGCTGTATCGTCCTTTGGCGCACCGGTTCAGTCCATTGTGCCAACCCTCTAGTAGTTTCCTCTGATTCAGCGTCAGGTCAGATGCTGAGAACTTAAATTTTCACTGAGAGCGGTGTTTTCGGTGAGGGAAGTCACAGGTTAAGCAGCGCCAGTCGATAGACGCACCGGTTTTAACAGCGTTGCGGTAATCTGCCTGCGACACGCCCGATTGACATTAACAAGTAGTCGCCAATAAGTTAAAGTTTCGAAGTTTCGTCCCTGGTTTCTTTCCTTATCTATTTAAACAACATGAGGGAGAAACATTCGTAAAGTATGTTAACAGAAAGAACACAGTTCATTTTTGTAGAATATATAAACAGAAAGAACACAGTTCACTTTATAATTCGATGTAACAAGCAAACAACATTACAGCAGAACGTTTACTTTATAATTTAACATGCATGGCAGAGAAATGTTCGTAAAAAGCAAATAACAAGAACATTGCAGAGAAGCGTTCATAACAAGCAAACAACAAGACAGCAAGAACGTAGTTTACTTTATAATTTAACATGCATGGCAGAGAAATGTTCGTAAAAAGCAAATAACAAGAACATTGTTTATTTCAAAATATATGATAGAGAAACGTTCATAAAAAGTAAATGGGCAAGAACATAGTTTATTTCACGGTTGGTGGGTTGGGGGCTAATAGTCCAGAGGCTGGGGGCTAATCGTCCAAATACTGGGGGCTAATCGTCCAGAGACTGGGGGCTAGTCGTCTGGGGCTAATTGTCCAGGGGGCGAGTTGTCCGGATACCCGTACGTGTGGTTGATGTTTGTATCGTTGCGTGATGTACGTAATTATGTCGAGTAATTTGTCACGTTTTGTGTAAAAGTTAGTCCTAGGGACCAATGTTTATGCCCACTTTGTAAAAAGCAGCGTCGTCGTTTTTGTTTTTCTCCTGTAAAGCTATGCACCGTTAAGGTATATATTTTGCTTTACTATGAGTTTATTTGTAAGTTTTTGTTCCTTAATATGTACTTTCCTACTCACGTTTAAAACCGTAGGTGTGTGGATGTTTTTAAATAAATGATGAACACAATTACGCGTAACTTCGGTTCCAATAACTTTAATCTCACTTTCTTCTCGTCCTTATTTTCTCTCTTTCTTTTCTTTTGCCTTTGATGCATCATATTTAGTAGTTAAAACATGACCCGCCTGGATAAGTTTAACTCTTTGACTCCTAAGAATGATTAGCATCTAATTTCTCCCCACAATCTCACCCCTAAAGCAGACATTAAGGTCATGAGAATAAAGAAAATGATCAGTAACTTGGGAAGCTGTCGTTCATCTCACCTTAAGAAATGTGTGGAGGAAACAGTGTGGAGAATATACATACTGATGTTGGGGTGTAAAGGTTTCACTACCTGCTAGTCTATGCTTTTGATATAATTATTAACAATTATTATTTGAATAATGATGTACTCACGTCTACAAAACTTGCGTTTATGTAATCAGACCCCACCATACCCGTGAAAGGCCACAGTTTTACTCTTGATCGATCAACTGGAGAGAAAATAGAATAATATAAAGGTAATTTATATTACGTTTAAGGCAATCTATTTTATTCTCAATTTTTAAAGAAATAAATTGTATTGGACTTCTGGTACAGAAATAAAGCAAAGAAATGATCCGCGCAGGTGGAATGAGCTTTAAGCAATTGCAAAACAAAAACCTGAAAAAATTCAGGCTTCGACGAAATTCGAATCCGTGCCTCTCACTAAATCTCCTGGGCGAGTGCCTTTAATTTCTTTATAAATAAGACTCCCTATAAATTATTTCAACTTACATGGGAGTATGGCAAATCTGTTCTTGGATTTATTTTCAGGCTGAGAGGCGCTGATGAATGAATCGTAATCTGAGTCACCCAGGCCAAGGTTCTGCATGATAACATCAATCAATGAGTACATATTAGTAAAACATTGCTACTACTATTAATAAAATACTGCAAGCGAAAACTCTTCTTCACAAAGCGCCTTCGAAACGACACAAACCAGGAAAAGGACTAAAAGCACTTTCACTTCCTTAGCTATTGTTTGCTCAGTATGCCTATGTATATCCGTAGAAAACTATTAAGATGAAGCCTTGAGCTTCTTTCATCCCTTATTAAAGAAGTTTAAGTTTCCAAAATGACATCGGCTTACACCCTTACGAAATTGATGAAAGATCGCCTAACCCTTTAACCACTAAGTGTCACAAGAATCAAAATTCTCGCTGCAGATTACTGCTGAATCAAACATTATGATCAGAAGGAGCTGTGTTGTCTCCTGAACGGTGAAACATCAAAACCTCACAAAAACAAACTTTTGAGAAGTCTAGTACTTTCTAAGAATTGTTCACACCTCACTGCATCCCCAGATCGGTCGGAAGACCCTCTCAAAACTCCACGAAATCTACTGGTTTAAAAAAGTTTAATACCTTGAATTCCACCACCAGAAGCGAATCTCCACTGTCTGGATCAATGGTGTTAAGAACACGCAAGTTCTCTGGTAGGTCACGCACAGCAAATTCTGTACTGCCACATGTGACATACTCCACCAGAGCGTCATGGATAAATACGTACTGGGCCTGTCGTAGAAAGATTAAACAAATGAATAAATAAATAAATAAAACCGTCCACGTCTAAGAAATCATTATATCAGAAGTCCTTCCAAAGGAACCAGTCATTATTTATCGCACGGGGAGGGGGGCCTGAGGACCTTTCTATTAAGAGGGAGGGGGAGGGGGAGGGGGGATCACATCGTTTTCAACGAGAACGGACGGTGATCAGTCATTATTCATGGGGGGGGGGGGGGTTGGGGGTTCTCATGGTTTTAAGGAGAGACAAGGGGATCAGTCAATATTTATCGAGGGGGGGTCTGAGATTCTTTTTTTCTAGAGTCTAAGGGCTTTAAGTATATTTTAAGTGACACAACTAAATTCCTCCGATCCCTTACCCCCGCCCCGCGTTAAATTATGCCATACCTCTGTCTGCACCATGGCGCTTCTCTGTTGACGGATATGACAGACAAAACCATAGATGTCTACCACCCCCTCAGCATCTATTTGGTCCAACATGGCGTCAAGTACAATGTATGTCCCGGTGCGTCCTACACCAGCACTGCAAAATAAATGGCACATGCCAATAAATATCTTTTATCATAACAACAGTGTCTCTACGAAGAGGAAGGAGGATACAAAAACTTCCAATACAAAATATAAAACAGGTTAAACGCAAATTTAAAAAAGAATTTCCTCTTCGTCTATTTTTCAAGGGAACTTTGCCCGTCTACCTCGCCGCAATGTTTCGACTCATTTCTGTGGCTGTCGTTAGAGCGTAACGGACGACAGCTGCGAAAAATTATTTCCAATGTCCCATCTCATTACCTGCAGTGGGTCAAAATGGGCCCAGAATCCTCTGGCACAGAGGCACGGACCTTCTTCAGGAAAGCAAGCAAGGAGGTTGCGTGGGCTGGGACCCCCTGATCAGGCCAAGCTGTGAAGTGATACTGTATCACCTCACGGGCGCGATACTCGGCTGTGTCTGAGGTCTAAGAAAGATAACAAGGAAAGTCAGTATTCTAGCTTATATGCACCTTAGTCAACTCGCAGTTTCCCTGTATTATCCTATGTAGCTGGGTAGATATCTTGTACTTTTTTTACACACGTACTTCAAACGAGCTCACAGATCTCAGACTTCAACTGTCCAAGAAATCATTGAATCACAAACGGATTGACAGAACGACTGACTGACTGACTCACCGCTGACTGACTGTTTCAGTCACCAATTTATTGTCTGACTAACTGACTGGCTGACTCATAGAGTGACTGACCGACTAGCTCACTAGCTGATTGACAGACTGACCGACTGACTCACCGACTAACTGTCTGGCTGACCTCCTCAGAGACTGACTCAATGACTGGCTGACTCAACTGACTAAATCATTCACGGACTCATATGGGCTCACTGACCATCTCACTGAAAGCAACGTAGGTACAAATAATCCAAAACAAACTCACCATCTGAACAGAAAACTTTCTAATCACATAGTCAGCAAGTTCTTCTTCATCACCCGGAGAAACCAGGACAGGACCGTACACTTCTGGACTGGCGCTCGGCCAATACTTCAGACACTTGATCTAAAGACAAATATTCTTGATTTAAAATTCTACTTGCATTCTGAGTGGTTCTTTCTACCTATGAACTATGTATTTTTCGGGATTGCCTTGGTGGCAGTAGGAGTTTAGTATCCCAAAGTCAGATTTTCTTGCTATAAACAAAACCGTTTTTTGTTCTCTAATACCTTTTCTTAGGAAAAAACACTCCCTCTAAAGCGACAAGCATCACTGCACTGACGTGCAGTGTCAATCAAAACTCAACTACGTTCGGGCCCAGTCTCCGACATATTATCAAAATGATGTTCAGTGTAAATGTAGTTTAACCCACCCGTCCTCCTTCCACCATGTTTGTAACCATGACAATGATACAAACGCCTTGGTCCCAGACTGTTCGCCAGAAGTCTCCAAATGTGCTAGCAACAGGACCTGAAATGTATGTATAAGACGTGATTAGAAATTGCCAGCGCGGAGCGGAATGGAAAAGAGGGGGGGAGGTGAGTTAGAGAATTGTCTCGTACCCCAATATGTGGCACTATGGTCAAGAGCTGTTGTCGAGTCCTGAGGTCAATCCTCAGGTGAAAGGAAAAATAAAGGCCTCGTTGACGCCCCCATAATATACGTCCGTCTCTGATAGCTCTTGATTTTTTTCAAACGAGCAAAACTGGGTAGGGGATCATTTCGTTGGCGTCCAGCCTACATTTACTTTACAAAAATTCCTTAATAATTGGTAGCGTCCTAGAATCCATGACAAAAAGCCAACTGCTCAAGTAAATATTATGAGTGAACGTTCAGCATCATTGATGGCAATCGAGTGGGACATTCCCACGGCAAAGATAGGTTGTTCCATTGAAGCAGAAAGAACACAAAGAAACTCAAACCTTGTGTAGCAATGAACTTGCAGTGATGATTGTAACCCTAAAAATAAACAAATAAACAAATAATAGTCAATAACGAACTTATCAGGTAGTCCAGTCAACATTGTCAGGCCGGGAGAGACCTCAGTGTAACTCATGGGAGATAATTCACAACCTGATTCTTGTCGATTATTTCTACATAGAGTGAACTCAAATCATTATTTATATCACCGTCAGAACATGGATCTAGGTATCCATCGCCCAGAAGCAGAGAACAAGTCGGTCAAAAATCAGAATAAAATTGTGCTCTCCTCTTAACATTGCAATCAGGCCAGCTGGCGGATTCACTTTGCTAGCCAATGACAATTCCTAAAAGATCCACGTGATCATGCCCGTGATCGGAAACAAAGAAGACTCCATTAGGTGCTCATCTTTAAATGTACTTATTTCTGTGTATGTAGTTATTTCTGTTCTTAACTGTTTTGCTTAAGACAATATTTCTAAAGATGGGTTTTATTGTGTTTCGTTGGCGCCGTGGAATTAAAAGAAGGGACAGCAGTTTACATATTGACTGGTACAAACAAGGGTCGCGTAGCCTTTTAAAAAGCTACGATTTTGAAAGGTTGTGGTGAGTAAAAATTGCGATATTCGTTACGTGATCAAAATCTTGTTAAAGAATAGATATAACGGCTTGAATTAAGCTTACACAACGCTCGTATTGTATTTTATGGAAAAGAATCAACAGATTTTTATTCACAATTTGTGTCAAACCAAATGTAATGATTGATTGGGACTATTTTATTATTAGGACTATTTTTATTGGGACTGTATATGAATAGCTGTAATTGAAGATTAATTCGTATGAACTTTTCAAGAAAAGAAAAATAAATCAAATTCCATCCTATTATTACTACATGTTGATGTTAATACACAATCAAAAATATTTTACACGTAAACCTTAATTAAGCTTGTTAATAAATTTCATTGAATACTTGAATTTTAGTTGGGATTTTTAAATTTTTAGTATTTATTTTATATTACCGTAATTTCCGTCCATTTACCCGCGCAGCAGATTACCCGCATCGATCGATTTTTGCAATAACGAGAAAAAAATTTCAACAGATTACCCGCACTGGCAGATAACCCACACTCAAAAAAAAAAAATTGTCGACTCGCACAAAGTTCCTTCACTGTCTTTGATGACACAATATCCTTAAGCGTGCAATTAGTAAATTTTCACACTTTTTGTCTTCGCTGTTTCATTGAGAATGATACCGCTTGTAAAAAAATCTGTTCTGAAAAAATTGATATCTCGAGATCTATGACTCGAAGAAATCGCTTGAAACGGGAAATTACTCTTTAACTCAAAGCAATGCTAACTAAGAAAATTTCACTGATGCGTCGAAAATTCTGTGCGTCATTAATTATATGGCGCCACGAAATGAACATGTCAGCATCATTTTCGGTGTGAATCGCTCTGAAGCCAGCTTTTTCACAATTAAGTTCTTTAATTTTCAAGTTCATTTCAAGAAATTCTATGAAATTGACAATAAGAAAATAAGAGCACAAACAAGATAAAAGCCGATTTGCATGCTTTCATCGAAGTGTCTCTTTTTATAACGAGCAATCAGCGCAAAATAATTTGGTCTCTTTGGTTTTGTCCATTTTAGACGCACACTGTGAGGTCCTGTCATTTGTGCCTCAAGTTTACCTGGTTTTCTTGGGGCTGATTAAACAAAAGGAAAATGTTTATGTTGTCTATATATGATAGTGTAGTCTGATCATCCAGTTGAATGAATGAGTGTAGTCCTGAAAGAAACTGTTGTGGCAGCTGGTGACTGACATTTCAACAACCTGAGCAGAAGTCATCATCTAAGTCAAGGGAATAGTTGTTGTCAGTCAAATGTTTAAAATAATAACCCTTTAACTCACAAGACCTGATTGTTAATTCTCTTCTCTTGCTGTTACACAATTTCTAATAAATTAGTTATGAGAATTTGGTGTTAGATCATGAAGATAAAAACTTCTTCCTGATAAGTTCAAGTATTCTCATCAATAGGGAGAAGTTACATGTTGGTCACTTGTGGGAGTTAAAGGGTTCTCAGTGAGTCCTGTACATTTGTATAAACTGATTGGTCAAGTGGCACAAGTCAATCATAATTGGTCTGTCTATACAGTCTATATAGCTAGTATACGGTAAATATCATTTTAGAAATTTTGTCATGTAACAGTAAGGCTCTACAAATGCAATCCTATGAAAAACCGTAATGAAACTGACATATTTATGGTGCCACCTGAGTTGACATTATTTCTATCATCTCTTACCACATGACTAATGACACGTGGGAGAAATTCAGTACAAAAGACAATAAATCTTGAGCTTGGTTGTCAAGTAAGGAAAGGTATTATTTGTTTTTATCTTGAGATTTGGGAAACTGACAAATCTGAGTGCCCTGCTGAGAACTGAATGGGAGACCTTTGGATTTCAGTGTTATTCAGATTATTAAACAGTGTTAGAAAAAATTATAGGGGGTAAGTTTCTAAAGAAACTGTGGTGCTCGTGTTGGTGGGGGTTGTGACAAAAAAAAGTTGGTGTTATCAACTGAATTGATAATGGTAATTGGTCATTATAAAGAGTTTCTTAAGCTCCAAAGAAGGGCTAGAAACTGTTTACAAGAACTAATTTTCATTATCAACTCAGGTGAAAAACAAAAACAAAAACAAATTAGCTTCAAAAACAATAATTTTATTATGCTTTAGCTTTAATTATCACTACAGGGTATCTTTGTTATCTTCTGTTTGCTGATCTTTAGGCAATAACTTATATGTAGGAGTCTTCACCAGAATTTGGGCCTCTAAGGGTATCAGTTTTTGTAACTGTAGGAGTTACCCTAACCAAATAAAAGCATCTTCTTCTTAAAAAAATATGTAATAAATAGAACAAGTTAAAATAGTTTAAAGTAATAAAAATATTTTCATTATGCAGGTATTTATAAGAAATCTTTTTAACAATCCTCTACAAGCAGTGTTTGGAGCAAAGAAATATACAGTGTAATCAATTGTACAACTAATAAGATGTGTCTCTGAGTCTTATCTGAAGTGGTGTGTGCCAGGCTCTTGGGATCAGATAAATGCTTGAAACATTGCATGAGCAAGAAATTAAAGCTCAGATCCTTGTCTTTTTCTTATCAACTTCTTTTTCCTTTCTCCCTTTTTACCACAGGTCTCTTACTGACTGTTGGTATCTAAACACTTAGCAAGGGTAAATATTTTCTTTGTCTTCGTTCTGAAGGTTGAAGAGATCTGGTTTGGCTTTCTTGATTTATGCACTTTGCTGCAGCCTTGCATAGTAACACAAGACATCAGTGTGAGCACGTACACACTTGCTATCAAAGTCCAAAACTCAGAGGCCTTCAAGACTGCGGGCTCTTGAAAGTGCAACATAAGCTTGGTCATATTCAAAGACTCTTGACAGAGAGATTTCAACACAATCCAGTGTCGTACCCTGGAAGAAAAAATTAAATTTTGCAGAGAACACTAAAGTGCAGTTACCTACTTCAGTTGATAAGCAAAATTGTTGGGGAAATGGCTTGACCTCCACAGAGTAAGTTCTTTTCATGTCCCCCAATGCAGAACCAACATTAGGCTTTTTCCATTTGAGTATCAATGTCGGATGTTGCTCAAATTTCAGTCAGCATAACAACTTTTAACAACTTTTAAAAACAAAAACTTTTAACTTCTACTAACTGAGCTAACAAGCCAACTGGGAACTGGTCACTATGTTGGTTCTTTATACTGTTAGTGTATAATTAACAGACCAGCTGATCCCACATCAAATCCTTTGATTATTCCATGAGCACCATTGACAAGTCCTCTGGAGACATTCAAGTTCTTAGCCAGCATCACCTGATAAAGGGAAAAAAGTATTTTGGATAAATCACTCAACATTTATCATTAACATTTACAAATAACATTTGTCAAAGAGTTATCAATACCCTAAAGGGATCCACATCCGTATATTTTGCTTTTGAAGTGATGATTACATAACCACAATCTATTTTATGATGAGTTATCAAAGTCTGATAACCTATTATTGCACTGATTATAAAAAATTTATTATTAAAGAAATATCATTATAACTATGTTACATTTCACATTCTGTAAAATTAATGTGTAAAGCAAAGCTGTATGTATGAATTTGTTACCTGTGCTCCTACTTTTAATTCCAAAGCGTAAGACACAGGAATATGACCATCAAGCATTGCACACATTCTACTGTCACTGTCAGTTGCTTCAAATACCTTCGTTTCACCAGGTAGTCTTGTCAAATGTATGTCGTTTATCTGGTTTATGTTTTCCTTGTGGGTGCAAAGCTTGGTAGCAAGTATTCCTCCTTGCTCTATTAGTTGATTCTTAGTTGCAGTTAACTTGGATACTGTACGATCGTCAGTGAACACACGCCATGTTGGATAGAACATGTTTATTACAATATCACGTGATACAATGTAGGTTCGCACTGCGTGTGGAGGAACAGATACTACATCCCTCCCAAACTAACAAAAGCTTGTAACTCTAAGCGAAAGTTCAATCTTATAACGAAACTAAAATCAACTGTCAATAAGTGTCTTTGTTAAGTTAGCACATAGTCTTTCAAATGTGAGGGCTGGCGCCTTTCCCGTCTGGGTCTCGTCACTACTGGTTTATTCACTGGCTGGTCAGGCTCTGTTCCTTGTTTCCGTTCAGTTTCCTGTTCCGGTATTACCAATATCTCTGTACTGGGTGGTTTCTCTGCATTTGCTGTTGTATTAGGTGGTACACTTGGTGGATTCACCTTCTCTGGGATCTCGAGGTCTGGAACTGCCTGTGGTGTTTGTGCTTCCTCACTCTTCTCTGGTTCATCGGAGGAGTTGATAACTGCATTTGCTAGCTTAAATTGGCTGGCATCTCGGCAGACTGTTCGTCCATCTGTGACACGTCTGGCGGTTATTTGGGAACCATGAATATTGCACACAACATAGAACACAGGTTCATAGGGTGTACTCCACTTGTTCTTCCTTGGCTGCTTGACAAGCATATAGTCTCCTAGTAGCAGATTATTCTCTCTGGTCTTTCTCCCTTCTCTCTGTTGCTTCATTTTCTGCTTGTACTCTGCATCTCTGCGGTCAATTAAGTCATCCTTCTCATTCCTCTGTGGTTCAGGTTCAATGTAATCCAACTTCGTTCTCACAGATGTCCCCTTAAGGGCTTCATAAGGTGCGACTCCAGTAGCTGGGTGCGGTGTCGATCTGTAAGCAGTAAGCATGTCTTGAACCGCATTCCTCCTCTCAAGACGGTTTTTGCCTTGCAGACTTGCAATTTGTTCGGTCTTGTTTAGGGTTTGCATGAATCTCTCTACTTCTCCGTTCGCTCTAGGGTGAAGGGGCGTCACCCTATGGTGCTCAAATCCTTCCTGCTCTGCAAATTCATTGAACTCTTTAGAATTGAACGGGGGTCCGTTGTCGCTCTCAATTCTCCTCGGAGTTCCATAGGTGGCAAAGATTTGCTTCAATCTCTCTTTATTAGTCTGGAAGTCAGTGGTACTGACTCTACCACTGGATATCTGGTTCTTTTGTCAATCAGGACGAGATTGTAGTGACCATCTGGGTATGGTCCACCATGGTCAATGGATACTGTGTCCCAAGGTCGGTTTGGGATGTTGGTCACCTTGATTGGTTCTCTGTTTCCTTTCGTAGCTAGACACTCATAACACTGTTCAATAGCTGTGTCGATCATGCTGTTCATCAGAGGGAACCAGTACTTCTCTCTCAGCATTTGCTTGGTCTTGGTTTTTCCTAAGTGTCCTAGGCTGTGTCCTAGTCTGACCACTTTTCTCTGGAGTGTCGGCGGTAGTACTATTCGGTGTTCTCTGAAGATGAGTCCTTCTGCAACTGATAACTCCTGCTTCACATGTAGTAGGGTTCAAGGTCTTTATCTCTCTTGTGTTTCTCCCAGTCCCCTTTGGCGATCCTCTTGGCTAATCGCTGCATGATCTCATCTTTCTGGGTTTCCTCTCTGATTCGCGTGACAACCACAGCATGCTCTGC